AGGGACACAAATCTTTCTTAACATCAAACCAAATTTAATTAAATGTTAAGACTTCCTCAATCTATCTCCCCTGAAAATTCTCAAGAAACATGGAAGAACTCACAACCACCCCCGAGTCATCACTCATATCTACAGTTGCCACAAGGCCCCCAACCTTCCCTTTCGTGGGCCCCACGTCATCATCCCGAGTCGAGTCCTCCTCCGCGGCCCCTTGCAACTGCAGGGCACACTCCAAGTGCCACAACACGTCCCCCATACTCGGCCGATCCACCCCATACTCGGCCAAACACTTCTCAGCCGCCTCCACAAACTTGCTCAAAGACTCCCCACAAATAGTCCCCGCAATAACCGGGTCAACAATTTTCCCTATCTCGCCCCTGGCATTTTTCCTCCGGGCCCACTCGGCCAAGTTCACCTGCTCCCTCGGCAGGCCCGGGTCAAGCGCGGGCCTCGCGCACAGCACCTCGAACAACACGACCCCAAACGAGTACACGTCCGACTTCTCAGTCAGCTGCTGCCGCCTAAAATACTCCGGGTCGAGGTACCCGAAACTACCCTTCACAGCCGTGCTGACATGCGTCTGGTCTAGCGACCCGGGCCCGGCCCTCGAAAGCCCGAAATCCGAAACCTTAGCCACAAAATTCTCATCGAGAAGAATATTCGTCGTCTTCACGTCCCGGTGGATTATACTCCCCTGCGCCGAACCCGTGTGGAGGTAATGAAGCCCACGCGCAGCCCCTATGCAGATCTCGAGTCGCCTCCGCCAGCTCAGCACGGGCCGGCCACCACCGTAGAGATGGTCGCGGAGCGGCCCGTGGGCCACGTACTCGTACACCAATATCATCTCCGATTGCTCGTCACAGTAACCGATGAGGGAGACGAGGTGGCGGTGGCGGAGCTTCGAGAGGAGTTGGATTTCGGTTTGGAACTCGTTGACCCCTTGAGACGAGGACGGGTTGCCCCGTTTTACAGCGAGGCGGGTCCCGTCTTCGAGCTCGCCGAGGTACACCTTCCCGAAGCCACCGACTCCGACGACCGACTTCTCGTCGAAATTTCTCGTCGCGCGGCGGATTTCGTTTAAGGTGAAGTGCCTCCCGAGGTTGAGGCTACTCGGGTCGATGATGCTCGAGAAAGTCGTGCTCTTGATCTTGCTCTTGCTCGACAAGAAGCTGCTGCACTGGGTTGCGGTTAGCGGGAGGAGCCACGACGAGAACATTCTCGACTTTTGCTTCTCGCAGCCTTTATTATTATTATTACGCCTCGTTCGCCTTCTGGCGAAACCGATGCATATCGAAATCAACGTTGTCGATCCTAATGCAAGTCCGATAGCGGTCAAGGCAACTCTCGACATGTTATAGTTTCTTCCGAATTTCGAGAAGGAGGAGGAGAAAAGCCCGTCGAGGCTTCCGGCCGAGTTGCTTAGCTTCATCACCTCGAACCCGTTTAGTATGGCGTCGGGTTGTACGGCCTTGACGTTCGAGGTGGGGCCCACTTGAATAGTGACCGTCCCGTTCGAAATAACCAAGGCGTTGAGCACGAAGTCCATGTAGTGAGGAACGGCGAGGCCCGATGTGAGGGTCGACAAGTCGAGGGCCGAGGCTCCGGAAAGCCCGTTTAGGTACACGTTGAAGTAGAGCTCGTTGAGTCCCGTGCTCACGATGTCGCAAAAGTGGAGCCTTATTAAGTAGTTGAAGCCCGGGTCGACTCTCATCGACCACGTGAGGTTGAAGTTCGGGTCGGCCGTGTCGGAATCCGCCATCACGGCCGCGGTTGAGTAGACCAAAGGCGGGGCCACGAGGGCCGTGGCCCCACCTCTCGAGTACCGTATCATGTCCGTGGGGACGATTACGTCTTTTTCCTCTTGAGGTAAAAACGCGTACCCGTTTTCTTCGTCCGGAAGCCATGTCCTCCAGAGGGTGTCGTTTTTCGGGGTCACGAGTGGGCCCCCAACGTTCACCCTGTGGAGGACCTCGAGCGCGAGCGCGTCGAGGCCTGTGAACTCGCCACGTGGCGAATTCACGGACGAGGCGGAGTCGGGGATGAGGTCGTCGGGAGCAGAGACTAGCTCGATGGCGTTGACGAACGCGGCTGATTTTCTCGAGGGCGAGAATTTGAGCGTGAGCTTTTCCGAGGTGACGTTCACGAGGTACTCCTTGACGATGGTGGTCGATGTCTTACTATTATTCAGACGGCGATCTTTGAACGAGAAGCCGTGAAGGAGTACGGTTTCGTCGGTTGAAACCGAGAATGTTGATGACGTCATGTTGACGGAAGGGTTCGGAAGTGGGTGGAAATGGAGTCGGATGAAGTGGCGGCCGGGCTTATTGATGAAGAATCGGTACATCGACTCGTGTCGGAAGATTCTTGCGGATAGGTACAAACGGCCGGTTAAGGGGATGTTTGGTAAGGAGTTTTCGGAAACTAGGATATCCTCGTCGGTGGATAGATAAGAAGCGGATTGTGGGTCGGATATGAATGTGCGGCCATCGTCGAGGGTGGTGGGCTCGGGAGACCCGCAGTTGATGAGATAGTTATCGGCGGGTTGAAAAAACGAGCCGCATAAGGCTACATTGATGAATTGTGGTAAAATGAGGATGTATGAGAAAGCTAGAATTGGGCCGGGAAATTTTCCGGCGGTTTTCATGGCGGTGAATGGAGACTCACGGTGGTGGTATGGTGGTGGTGGACATAAGGGAGGAAACAAAGTGTGGAAATTGGGTAGACTTTTTTTTTTTCTTTTTTGACAAAGTATCGCAAGAGGTTTAGTTTAGTCTATAGTTTTTTGTTAGGACAAAGAGCATTGTGATTTGTGAGTTTGTAGGTAAAAGACTTTGGAGGGATGTGAAAAATGGTTGTAAGCATGTTGAGGAGAACGTGCGATCTTGTAAGTTGTAATGCAATGAGAATGTCTATTTCTCTGTTTTTTCCTCAGTATTTTTTTATTATTATTATGACGAACAATAATGTGGTTTTCATTGTATCATGAAATTAATTAAATAATGACCCGGAAGTTTGGAGTAATTGCACTTCTCAAAATATTAGTTACTAGAGAAGGTGTTGGATGTAATTACAAATTTGTGGCATTAGATTTGTCTATTTACCATATTTCAAAAAGGTGGGTGGATTAATTAATTAATGACAAACTATGAGTTCAATTCTACGATACGTGAGTCCAATTTACGATCGAGCTTTGGATAAATATGGTAAATTCGATGCTACTCGTGGGTTTTGCATAAATGAGAGATCTTCAAGGTTTTGTTTGTAATTACTCTAACTTACAGGGTAGTTTGTGTAATTATCCGTATTATTATGTGTAGACTTTCTGTTAAAATTATTAGTTGGCGGCAACGACGGTTTAGAGTGAATCGGTGCAAAGAAGTTCAAACCGCGTATCCAGCTGGGAAAGGCTCAACTTGGTTTTTTAAAAAAAATAAAAATGCTAGCTTACAATAATTGACTTTGGAGTTGGATTAGGTTCCATTGCATTATGGATGGAACTAAATTAGCACTCACCTGTTTGTTATGAAGGATTGACCTTTTGTGTCTGGATATATAGTATTTGAGGATAAAGACCTCAATTAGTGCCGCAAATTCTGTGTTATATTTTATGCTACAATGTTCAACTTGGTGCCATTGTGAAAATGATGATAATAGCACAACTTGAAAGCAATTTTGCTTGCTTGACATTGGATTTGACTTTACATTTGGGTGTTAGTGTACCAGAAAGATATATGTAGTGATGTTCAGCTTTGTCATGAGGTTGAAGGGTTAAGTACTTTTTCGATAAATCAAGTCGAGTTTTCTATTGCATTTTGCAATGTATCGAATTTAAGAACTCTTGATTTTAGTTTTGCTATCTTTGTGATGTTGAGCTTTGTCATGAGGTTGAAGGGTTAGTAATTTTTTCGATAAATCGAGTCGAGTTTTCTATTGCATTTTGCAACGTATCGAATTTAAGAGCTCTTGGTTTTAGTTTTGCTTTCTTTATGATATTGAGCTTTGTTATGAGGTTGAAGGGTTAGTACTTTTTTGATAAATCGAGTCAGAGTTTTCTATTGCATTTTGCAAGGTATCGAATCTAAGAACTCTTGATTTTAGTTTTGCTTTCTTTATAATGTTGAGCTTTGTTATGAGGTTGAAAGGGTTAGTACTTTTTCGACAAATCGAGCAGAGTTTTCTATTGCCTTTTGCAACGTAACGAATTTAAGAACTCTTGTTTTTAGTTTTGCTTTCTTTGTGATGTTAAGCTTTGCTAGGAGGTTGAAGGGTTAGTACTTTTTTGATAAATCGAGTTGAATTTTCTGTTGCATTTTGCAACGTATCGAATCTAAGAACTCTTGATTTTAGTTTTGGTTTCTTTATGTTTTCAATAGTACATGAATCTGAGTTAAGTGTTTAACATTATGGTTTGAATGTTTTTAACCTTTTGTGTTTCGAATTTGCTGCTCGTTTTTCACGCATCTCACAAAATATACAGAATCCAAGACTGAACGTGTTTTCGAAGTAACAATGCAACCAGCAAACAATTGCAGATAAAGTGCGAAAACGAACCACATTTTTATCATTTGAGTTAACATTTGTAGCAAGTGTTAGGAATTTTCATGTGCATTGAACAGCAAAATGCAGCTTCATCAATCTCTTTCACCTGATTTCACAAATGTAGTCTCTTTTTTTTCTTCCATTTTTTTCCTTTTCCCCTAACAATAATCATCAATCAAGCTCATTGGAGAAAAGGTAATGAACCAAAAGCTTTGCACCATTTTCGAAGTAAATACAAAAATAATAATTCTATTACATAGGCAAAACCAATATGATTACCAAANCAAAAAAAAAAAAAAAAATGAATTGAATGAAGCCTAATAGGCTAATACAACCAAAAAAACGCCCCACAAAACAATCTAGAAAGCTAAAGCTAACATATAAGCTGAAAGTAAATTCAACACTAAGATTTTTCTTTGTCACTCCAATGCAAAAATCAAAATCTAATACAACAACAAGAACAAGAACAGCAGAAAAATCTCGTATTTTTACCTATACGTGACGTGTGATAACTCTCTCATGCACCGAACTACGAATGGCAAACTGATCAACATTCACCAAAGGAGCCACAGTCTCATTCCTTACTCTCTTGATATTCGGGCTAACCAAACCTTTATGCCTAAACCCATACAATTTCAAAACCTGATTATCCGCAAAGTTGAAAGCTTTCTCCATACTCTTCAAACACCTTTCGGCCGGATAATCCCCTTCACTCCCACACGGCTTGCAACCCAAGAAATGTGTCACGAGTGGCCACCTCTCGTCACCTAAGCCCGGATGATATTTTTCTAGCATCTCTTCATAACGGTCCACAAGATTCTCCCAAAACCCGTGAAGAAGATAGGAATTCTCGATAAATACTTTGCTTGCCCATTTTTCTTTCTGAGAAATCAAGAGGTATATCAAGGCTGACTGATCGTCTGCTTCGAAATCCGGCCGACCCTTCAGATTGGCTGTTAGAATCTTGCCGGATTCTTCACGGGCATGGCCTTTTGGCCCCATTGGAGCCCAAGCATTGAGCAAATCAAGAGACCATTGACAGTTTCTCAGCAGGAAGATTCCAGTGTTGAGAGATACCCAAGATTGCTGCTTAAAAAGCAAATCTTGATTTCCATGGAGGATCATATTGTGATCCTTGTATTTCGAGAAGGGTATCTCGAAGGTGAAGTCTGTGAAAAGGGCATCACTGTCTATCCACCAGACCCATTCGAATTCAGGATGGGATAACATTAGCCGCCTGATTAGAGGGAGTTTTGCCCAATATCCGGCCATTTCCTTGTCCAGATTTGCCATGTTGTACACGATTTCGATCCGGTGGATTCTGCAGTAATCGATCTTATTTTTGAGGAATTTCAGTAGGTAATGGTCTCCGACGGCGTTTTCGCAAGGGTTTGGGCCCGAGCCCGTCACCAGCAAAATCCTGGGCGAGCCATTGATGTAGCTCGGGAAATTAGGGTTGCGGCGGAGCCAGAGTCTCCGGTCGCGGTCCCAGGTGGTGATTTCGGGGCCCAAGGAGAACGACGCCGTTTGGTTCGGTTCGGGAAACTCCTCCTCCGGTTGTTGTTGGTCGTCGTCGTCCGGGTCTTTTCCCGACCGGATCTCGGCGATAATCCGGTTCGTTTCCTCGATGAGGTGCTGGTTCTCGGCCTGGGCTTCGTAGGAAGCGAGGTTGCTCAGCCCGATTGTGCCGCGGAGGACGAGGATGGTGACGAAGCCGCAGAGGATCGTGATCTTGATGTTGTTGCAGGATTTGTGGATCTGCCTTCCACGGGAGAGGGCCGAGGTGGAGGCGGGGGCGGCGCGAGGGGCGCCGCCGTTCTCGGCGGCGACGGTTGTCGGAAGCGCGCTCGAGGTTCGCTTCTGAGCTGAAGAGGTCCCATCAGAACCCATCGGCGAAAAAAAACAAAAAAAAAAATCCAAAAGAAAATTTGGGTTTCTGAGTGCGAGTTACAGTATGATTTCGCTTACGAATGTACGTACATTACATTACACGCATTGAGAACGAAATTTTGAATCGAAAGGAAGAAGACAATGCCGCTGTTCGCGTTGATCCATGTTCTCCCATTTTCTTGGGCCCTTGTATTGTTGTCATCTTTCTCCTCGAGAGGAAATTAATGTATTTTCAATTTAGTCCCTCGACTTTCTTGTCTATTTCTTTCTATCATTATTTTCTTTCTTTTCTTCTTCCAACGTCGTCGTGAAATTTAAGCATGTTTTAGTTTGGAATTGCCAAATTAGATGATAATAATTAGGTTGCGATAGTACCTAGTATGTAAACAACCTGTATTGGATTTGCACGACCTGAATCTACTTCTAACTTGTTCGTAGACCTGCAAAATGGGCCGTGAAGGATTTTCGTTGTTAGCACTCCGACGATCAAGTCAGTCACAGATGAAGAAGACGATGAACAGTTGTGTAAAACTCTGTAAATATATACTGTGTAGATAATGTAATGTTGCAATAAATATACCTTACCCTTTTATATAGATGTATCTTACCTTGTTACCCAAGCTTGTCCAAATGCAGAACCTTGTTATCGTTCAAGGCGATTTTATTTCTTATTATCCATTAGTCCGTCTTATTGGACAGTCAAATAGTGCGACTAACCTAAATCACCTCGAGGTGCAGTACTACATGTGCTTATCTGGTATGCTTTGTTGATCTATCCATCGACCAGTCATGCCTTCAGGTCGAGTTTCAATTAGACCATTCGAGGGTCCTAGCTAGACCTATATGTGCTCATTGGAGCCGTTGTGTCCTCATCAATCTGACGGTTCTTCAATATATTGTGCCTTTGATCACCGTTCGAGGAATTCAACCTAACGAATTACCTTGTTCAGTCAAATTGTTTCTCAAGTCACGTTGACCTGGTGTGGTATCCCATATCAGTACTGAAAGAGTAAACCTTAACATTATGATTTGAGTTTGGTTACTTTCCACTGTTGTTTGCCGAGAGTATGTTTGAACTCATTTGTTTAACTGTTCACCAAAGTTCGAGTTCACATAACTTAGTAACGTGCTTACTAAAGTTGCTTGAGTAACTCGAGTTTGATTTGTTCGGAATTGTTCGAGTTCAAAAATATAGAGTTAAAAAATTATAAAAAATTAAATGTAAAATAAGAATAAATAATTTATATATTAGATTAAGGTCGAATATTTGTAAAAGAATTTTTGTTCCAACTCGAATTGAATAATAAATAAACGAGCTTTGTACAAATTTGAAAGGGTTTTCGTTTGCGAAAACCAGCCAAAACTTGCCCATCTTTACGTTTGTTCCAACTTCAAAGCCCAATAGAAGGCATAAAATGTCCCTTTTCTTCACTTTATTAAATTAGGCTTGACAATGGGCCGGGATCCAATTTGTTTTAAGGCACCCGCAGTCCAAAGTAGCTTCAAATTACGTACTAGCTCCTTTTGTTTATAAATATCATTTTGCCTTTATCAACAATTGACTAAATAAATGAAGTTTTGAAATTTTTGTACATATTTTTCCATTATTACCCTTATCTATCTAATAAATAAACTACGTCTGTTCATATTCATTCTTTATTTTTGTTGATGGCCGACTTGGCTTCATGAGGTTAGAGCTAAAGACAAATCGCTTCGTTCGATTAATAGTCCCTCAGAAATAACTGAACTTAGCTCAAGTCGGTACCAGTTAAATACGTTGATTACCGACTTCCAGTTGACTGAAAGTAGAACCGACAACTTATCAGAAGTCGACAACCGACTTCACCAACATTGTGATTATGTCCATTAAAAATTATCCATTCATCCGACATCCGAGGAGATCGAATTTCCAAGCAAGAGGTGTTCTACATATTCGATTGGACCATCAAAACAAAAAGCAATCATTGATGTTTCTTCATTCCACTACACACAGTTTTATTGAAGCTTCTCAACATTAAATGCGATCTTATCTACCTCGGACAAAAAGACAAAAGCGACCGTACTATAAATAGCAGAATTTATAGTTGTACGGGGATCTTTTTACACACATTGTACACGGACTAGAAATGATTTCGGTCAAGAACAAAAAAAACCGACTTCCTGTACTCTTGTGATATCATCAATAAAATACGATTATCTTCTTATTTCTGTTTAAACACATCCAGCTGTTTATAATTTTAAGTTGTTAATCACATACAACAACAATTTTTTCTCAAAACATTCATCTTTACCCTCATTAATGAGGGTTATTATTAGTAAAAAAATATTTTTAATTAGTGTGCAACTTCTGAAAACGACATCTATTAAAAAAAAGGACGGAGTAGTATTTATATTCTTAGTCTCCATATAGGAACTATTATAAGGCACACGACCGATTTAGTTAGTTTACTCTAAAGATTCAAATTCAAATCCAAATTCAGATTCGTGACATGAGACCAAATCCCCTCTATATATAATTTGAAAATGCGTTGAGCCTACGTGGCAAACTCTCATGCTTCAGAATTCTATTTGGAAAAAAATCATGATTTGGAGTTAGGCTTGGATATAAATTATTTTTATCATAATAATATATTCCTTCCAAAGTTTCATGCCTTAAAATTAGGAACATATTTATTATAATAAATATATATTTAATCCAATAATCTCGAATGTTTTGCTCCGCATTTTCTAGTTTTGACCTAAGTAATCTTCAAATATATAATATTTAATTGTAGCAAACTAGCAATAAATTAACCTATTATTGTTTATGTATCTAAGTTCGTGAGTACTTTTTAAACAATGCTCAATTATTAAATGTTTCAGATTCTCAAATAAGACATAGCTTTCGAAATATAAATATTTGGCATTTGAGACTTGTCGGGTATGGAAGATCAATAAAATGATATTTTTAGCAAATAAAAAAATATTATAATTAATCAGACCAGACTCAGATTATCTTGTAACAATTTTCGATTTAACATTCATATTATATATATAAAATACTAAACAGTAATAGAAATTGGTATGTATTTTTTTAAAAATGGTATTTATTTCAAATCTAATTGGTATGATGTGAATCTAATAAAAATAAATAACTATTTATCTAAATTTAAAAATTACATATAAAGTTAAAAAACTGTGAAGCACGACTGATACGACACTTGATGTATTAGGCAACTAATTAAGTAAAAAAACATATCTATTTTGCTTAATATTAAATAAACATATTCTACAATTATGCATATACATATCACCATATTATTTCTATTTAAGATATATATTTTTGTACTTATGTAATAGTAACTAATATCGATATTTTTATACGATATAAGTAAAAAAACTAAACACGGGTTGACATTTTCATTTAATGTACGGGTGTTTAATTATTATGATTAAAAAGAATATAATTTAACAATTTAATTAAAATCCAAAGTAATGTTTTGTATAAAATTAAATTATTTTAGTTTTATAAAAAATAAAAATTTAATATTTTTTGTAAAAGCTTTCTAATTCAACACTCGTGTAATACACGGGAATTGTTCTAGTTATACGTTAGAGTGAAAGTTGGACTTCATTTTTTGTTCATTTATACTAGTATGAGTCCCGTGCACTGCACGGGTAAGAGATATTCATTAATATTTATAAATTAATTTTTTTTTATTAAATAATATTTGTAAATTAAAAATATAGAATCAAATACCTATATTAATTTGTTGAAAATATTATATAAAGTTGAAATTGTGAAAAATTACATAAAAATATCTATTTAAAATTAGTACACAACCCATGCGATACATATAACTGATAATAAATTACATTATATTCGTTTCAAAATAAGTGTCATTTCAAATTTTTTATTCAGAAATTCGATTTGACTATAATGTGATTACATAAAACAATTATTTTGGTAAAATTTTATCATATATTTAACAACATATGTGAATAATAATTATAAATATAAAATTTTTATTGTTTCATTACTTAAAATAATTTAGTTTTGTATAAACTATTCAAATAAAAAAAATTAAGTAGTTGAGTAATTTATTGAACTATAAATAATTGACTATTTCATTCACGTCTAAGTTAATATTGACCCGTAAGTTATGAATAATTGTTTTTTTTTTATTTTTAATTTTAAATAAAAATATTTTTATTTTTTTATATATTATATACCAAATTTAAACTATGCAACTAATAAAGGTAATAGCTGCAAGTTTTGTCAATATATTATATTTCACATTTAAATTATTCAACAAATAAAGGTAATAGCCGCAATATTTGACCAAAATAATTTTGTACATTAATTACATTAACTTAGGCAGGATTTTTCAAACTTTGGCAAGAAAAAAGAATTGCCCAATTTAGTAATTCTGAATTTTTAGGCGGGAAAACCAAATATTTTTTTATTGATTTTTAGTTACTATTTCAAGTAAATATCATTGTCTTTTTATATATTAATAGATGTCATATTTTTGTAGCGTGCTATGCCACGGGATTTCACGATTTGTTGATTATTAGATATTTAATGATAAATTGTTTGAATCAAATAATTTGTTGACATTAACGTGAAAAAAAAATATTATTTAGTAGTAAATTTAAATTTATATCATTCATGATATTAAATATTCAATATTTGATTTTATGTTTATATTAAGTACATATTACTTAGGTCACATAATTTCATAATTTTTAATTACTTATTTTGATTAATAATCAAATAATTTATTTCTTTTTCTTTTGAAAATCTAAGGACTCCTTTTTTTTTTCTCCCCCAACGAAATGAAATGAGTCTAACTAGTAAAAGAATGTGCTTTGTCAAATAATATATAATTGGATGTGATTTACTTGCCAAACATTGGATGTGATTTATTGGTTAATAAATTGTTTAAGCGGGACATGCAAAAAATTTCAAAAATATTTGCTGAAAATTGTTCAAAACGAAAAATAGAAGCGGGAAAGAATGACTAAAGAAGCGGGAAATGAAATATTTTTTCAAAGTTTTTCAAATAGTTTTTCTTCTCCTTATTATATAGTAATAGATTTTGATTTTTGACCTAACTTTTTCTAATAGCGAGGGATGCAAATTAACAAAATAAACTTTATTTAAAAGTTTGATCGATAATATTCATTAATTAATTTTGTTAGTATATTTTATTACCGTTTTGACCAAAAACATTAATTTTGTAAAATCTCGATAAATGAAAAAATTGAAAATAGAGAATTTACATGTCAATATAAATACTTTCAATGTAGTTATACAAACCACTATTTATTAAATAATTATTTACAAATTGTTAAGATAATTGATAGTCAAATCAATTATTATGACTCAATATTCACAGCTAATAATCTAATAATCAAATAAGTTCGTACTTATTTTACAAATGATAAAATAAGTGTGTAATTTTATTTAAAAACTAAAAAGTAGTGAAAACTTGTGCTTCATTAATAGTTACGCGTGCATCGACAGTTTGCAGAATGTCGGCGTTCAATAATTCAATTTCGTCTGTTGTTAATAATCATAATGTTAGGCGCTTAAGGCGCAATCACAATTCACAACCCTAAAAAGAATTAAAATTTAAAAAGGAACATAAATAAAGAAAATAAACGCACACGCACTCGCACGCACACTGAACACGCACAGTCTGCAAGGAGAATTTCCTCAAAACCCAAGCAATCCTAAATTCGATTTCTCTCTCCGATTGAATCTTTTTAGCTTCGTCCCCAAGTCAATTCTCCGATTTGCAGGTAGAATGATGCTGTGTAGAATGGTTGGCCGGAAGAGGAAGACGGGGACGGTGCCGGTGTACCTCAACGTGTACGATCTCACGCCGATCAACGGCTACGCGTACTGGCTCGGCCTCGGCATCTACCATTCTGGAGTTCAAGGTCGAATATTTTCTGTCTGTGCTAAATGCCCTTTCCATATTTTCAGGACTGAGTGTGTCTGTATGTGTCCTGCACTCGTTTGTGTTATTTTGTTTTCAAAAGCTTGATTTTTCTTAGCTTATGGGCTAAAAGCTTTTCTGGGTGTTGTTAGCTCTCGATGAGTAGATGTTTTATATTCCATACAAGAATAGGTCAATTTTGGGTGTGTGTGTGTGTGCGCGCGCGCGCTAAATGCCCTTTTTATATTTTCAGTGAACTCTCTCTCTCTCTCTGTGTGTGTGTGTTTCCTGCACTCTTTTGTGTTATTTTGTTTACGAAAGCTTGGATTTTTCTTAGCTTATAGGCTGAAAGCTTAAATGGGTGTTACTTGTTAGCTGTAGATCAGTAGATCTTGAAGAATAGGTCAGTTTTAGTTTTGAGTAAATATTGTGTAGTTCAGTTCTTCTGCTGTCTGGGCCAGATGATCTGAGTTTCTCCCTTAGAGGAAATTGATTTTAGGCTTTAGCATGATGCAGGGAATTATTCCTGGTTGACCTAAAAAAAAACAGCAGATACTTTGGATTTTTTGTAGGGTTATCTTGATTGATCTTTATTTCTTCTTATGGCAGTTCATGGAGTTGAATATGCATTTGGCGCACACGATCGCTCGACAACAGGGATATTTGAGGTGGAGCCGAAGTGTTGCCCGGGATTCACGTTTAGAAAGTCCATCTTGATCGGTAGATCGGATTTGGGTCTCAAGGAGATCAGGGCATTCATGGAGAAACTAGCCGAAGAATACTCGGGCAATTCGTATAATCTCATCACCAAGAACTGCAATCACTTCTGCAATGATGTATGCCTTCGATTGACTGGAAAATCGATACCGAGATGGGTCAATCGTCTTGCTCGACTTGGTATGCACACTTATTTTAAGTACTTGTTACGATTTCCGCTTTTGGTGAATTATGCGTGTATGTTCTAAGTTCGAGGAAATCATCTCTCGCTTCTAAAAACTTTGATGCATATTTAATAAGGATCAATCTTAGCTTTTTTGTGGTTCTTGGTTGTTTTGTTTTCCCCATTCTATTTGTTTATTTTGGTAGTATTTGATTCGGTTTAGGTACGATAGAAGTAAGAAAATTGGAGTATTAAGTATAAGGCTTGTTGCTCTGAAGGGATAATGGACAAAATAAGGCAAAAATGCATTTTTAGTCCTGTTGGTTTAAACCATAGTAATTTTAGTCCCAAAGTTCCAACTTTTTGCCTTTTAGTCTGTGATTTACTATATTTTGCTGCAATTTCAATCCTCAAAGACTGAAATTGCAACAAACTTTTAAATTACATGACTAAAAATGCAATAAAAAGATTGAAATTGCAAGAAAATTTTAGATTACATGACTAAAAATGGAATAAAATTTTAAATTACACGATTTAAATGGCTAATAAAAAATCCAACCAAAAGATATGAATTGGGAATCTGTTGCAATTTCAGTTCTTTGAGGACTGAAATTGCAGCAAAATATTAATTTATAGGACCAAAAAGCGAAATGCTAAAATATTGGGACTAAAATTGATATGGCGACAAACCAACAGGACTAAAAATGCAATTTAGGCACAAAATAATCTGTCATCTAGCCCGCTTATTTATTTGCAAAANATAATAATAATAATAATAATAATAATAATAATAATAATAAACATTGCAATATTTGCAAAATCAATGAAGTGTTAGCTGCAGAAAGATTTTGCAAATCCTTCGAGTTGTTCACAAGAACAACATTGGAAGTCACCTTTCTCTTTTGTGTGTATATGTACACTGTGGTAGATTTATGGACTTAAAAAGGTTCAACTCATGAAGATTTCAAGTGGTTTTTCATAAACGAGAAAGTATTTTTTTTTACTCTGCAACTTTTTCGAAGGTCTATTCTGCAATTGTGTTCTCCCGGCGGGTCTGAACGAGACAAAGGTGCGCCATGTCAGAGCTGAAGACAGGAATAGTGAGAAGAAAAAGCTAACAAGTCAGTCCAGTAGGTTTGTTTCTACTTCCAATCGACATAAATTGAGTAGCAACAGTTCGAAAAGTTTTGGAGTAAGAAGCTGTAGACACAGAACTCAAAATTCATCTTCATCATCTTCTTTCTGTTTATCTCCACTATCATAAGTTTCTGTCTGTTTTTTTTTTTCTTTTTCTTTTTTTTTTTT